GATGCATGCTGAAAGTAGACTATAGACTGAACATGATAGCCACTCAATGCCCCTTTTGCAATCCACAGCACCCAAAAGGAGAGAGAGAACAAAAGGGAATGCCCTGCCACAGAAATGGGGTGAGATCGGGGGTTGGGGAGTGGTGGGAGGGATGCTGGGAGCATTGGAGGTGGGGAATGGGCACTGGTAGAGGGATGGGTACTCAATCATTGTATAACTAAAACCCTAGCACAAAAATTTGTAAGTCTACAACTGTACCTCATGGTGTTTCGCTAATAAAAATTAACAATTAAAAATAAATAAATAAATAAAAGTTTACTCACAATAAAAAAAGAAACACATTACTGTGTTACCAAACTTTGCTTGTTTTATTGAATAAACTACTTTGAAAGTTAAAAAAAAAGTTCATATGTACAAAAGGTGAAAACAAACAATAAATGTACATGATTGTCACACCAAAATTTATACAGAAGTATATATGTGTGTATACATTCCATCTTAGATAAAGGAGCAAATCTAATAAATGCATAGTCGTAAATTTGTGGCCTAGTACAATTTTATATATACTTGAGAGGACAGGAATCATAAGTGGTCAGAACGAAATAATTCTGTTGCATCAACACAAAAATGTATAAGAATGTCATGGATCTTGGCACCCCATGAGGGGTATTGCTAAGAGAATTTTCCAGAGGAAATAGCTACCCCCTCAGGGGAGACTCAATCCTGTGTAGCAATTAACTGCAGACAAGTCCAGAGCTAAGAAGTGTTTCCTGGGTGTGGAGGGAAACTCTCTAGAAATACTTGTTAGCTCTGGACTTGTCTGCAGTTACAGACTGAAGAGAAAATATCAATAAGCTGATACTGAATCAAAAAATACCATCCCAGCATAGGAGGGAGCCGATCACAAAGGACTTAAAGAACATTATTTTTATATCAACACTCTAAGTCAGAAACAGTCTCAGGACTTATTGAGTCTGACAGAATGGCCTTCTGGTGCAGTTATACACAATGACCAAATGCAGTTCATTCCAGGCAAACAAGGATGATTCAACATATGCAAATATTTTAATATATTATACTATATCAGGCCTGGAGCAATAGTGCAGCGGTTAGGGCGTTTGCCTTGCACGTGGCCGACCAGGGTTCGATTCCTTCATCCCTCTCAGAGAGCTTGGCAAGCTACTGAGAGTTTCCCACTCCCACAGCACAGCCTGGCAAGCTCCCCATGGCATATTCAATATGCCAAAAACAGTAACAACAAGTCTCACAATGGAGAAGTTACTGGTGCCCGCTCGAGCAAATCGATGTACAATGGGAGAACAGTGCTACATACTATATCAAAAGGAAAGAAAAATTGATAAGATGATATCCGCAGATGCAAAGAAATCTTTTAACATGACTGAGTATCCATTAACTATAAAAACCTGAACAAAAAAAGGGGTAGAAGGAACTCAACTCGAGATAATAATGTACATTTTCAACAATACCTCAGATAACTTCATATTCTGTGGTGAAAAACTGAAGCCTTCCTTCTGAGATTAGCACAAGGCAAAGAAGTCTATTTTTTATACAATTACTCAGTATAGTTTTGTTAATCTGTACCATAGCAATCAGGCACAGAAAAGAAATCAAAGGGAATCAGATGAGAAAATAAGGTATGGCTATTTGTAGATGATGTGAAAATATTCATAAACTAAAGATGTGACTTTATATATAGACACATAAATCCAAGAATCCCAATCACAAGAAACAAGTAAAAAACTAGACCAATATACATTTAAATGAAGAAATTCAAAAGTAGCCAAAGAATAAAAACATACTACAGTCAAAGGATCAAAGGCAAGGATAAAAGATGTATCACTACAATCAACTCAAGAGATAAGGCAACAATATATTTAAGTATTGGAAGGAAGAAAAGTTATATTCTATTCTAAAATACCTTTCAAATTATAAAGTCACGGTCACGGTCCTCCCGTTGTTCATCGATTTGCCGGGCCCAGTAACGTCTCCATCATGAGACTTGTTGTTACTGTGTTTGGCATATCGAAATACCTCACGGGGAGCTTGCCAGGCTTTGCCGTGCAGGCGAGATACTCTCGGTAGCTTGTCGGGCTCTCTGAGAGGGGCGGAGGAATCGAACTCGGGTCGGCAATGTTGGCTGCATGCAAGGCAAACACCTTACCCGCTGTGATTTACAAACCAGACACTAACTACATAAGTAAATATATAGAATTTTTTCTTAACATTAAATTTTCTTCAAAGTTAGTTTAATCAAAGATAACAATATTCTATGAAAGGTTATAACATGAAAAATTGATAACTGTAGCAAGAAGTCTTGAGTGTAAAAAATGAAAAATGAAAATAAAAACTATAAAGGTTTTTCTACATGATTTCCCCCCCTTCATTTAATATAAGTTTCAGGTGTACACATAATAATCAACCTTTTATATACTGTGAAGTTTAACTACATTAATTCTAGATAATATCCATTTCCATATGTAATTACTAACATTTGTAATAGTACTCTTTAAGATCACTTCTCAAAGCACTTTAAAATGTGCATTAGAGTATTATCTTCTGCTCTATGTAAAATGGAATGATTTAATCTATGATAAGTGAATGATACATAACATAAATACTAAACTATTTTTTAAAAATCAGTATCAAATAAACCAACTAAGTAAGCAAAATTAAAATTTAAAAAACAGGGAGTTGGAGGTGGAGTGACAGTACAACTGGTTGGGTACTTGCTTTGCATGTGACTGATCCGGGTTCTATGCCCTGCACCCAATATGGTCCCTGTAGCCTGCCAGAGTGACCTCTGAGTGCAAACCCAGGCATAAGCCTGAGCAACACCAGCTGTGGCTCCAAAACAAACAAATGAAAAAAAATACAAGGCTGTAGCAGTAGTACAGTGAGTAGAACTTTTGCCTTGCATGCAACTGAACTGGGCTTAGTTCCACTGAGCCTTCAGGAGTGATTCCTGAATGCAGAGCCAGAAGTAAACCCTGAGTGCTGTCAAGTAGAGCCCCAAACCAAAAAAAAAAAAAGATAATTTTTTTTAAAAAATTTATTTAAAAAAATAACATAACATTTAAAAAAATATTCAATTAATCCAAATGAGGCAAGGGAAAAAAGGGGGGGATAATAAGGAAGAAATAAGGCAGAATAATCAGAAGATAGCCTTAAACAAGTGAAGATAGGATTATTACCATAATGAGGCCCAAGTACAAAATATAAGTTAATACAAAATATTTTAGATACCAGAATTGAAAATTAATCTATGTGAACGAAAATAACATTTTATTACACTTTCAGAGATTTTGATTTCTTTGCTTATGTAGGTTAAAACTATACAGAAAGTAATCATCACAAACTGGCTTTTATTGATTTATTTTCTGATAATTGCATTTGCATTGCTCTACATTTTGTTGGGGCAAGCAATATGAAATCAATCTGTTATGTGTTTGCTAAGGAGGCAGGACAGAGGGCAGGAGGGGAACTGGGGACATTGGTAGAAAGAAGAGCAAACTGATGATGGAATTGGTATTTGAATATTGTATGTCTGAAGCAGCTATATTATAAATAGCTTTGTAAATCACAGTGTTTTAATAAACATAATTTTTTTAAAAACCTAAAGACATCAATGATCACATCAAATGCAAGTGGCATAAACACCCACGTGAAAAGCACAGATTGTCATTAGATAAGAAATCAAGAACGAATTACTTGTTACCTACAAGATGTTTGTTTTATTTTTTTTTTATTTGAAGATTCATTTATTATTCTTGGGCATGTATTCTTTTTTTTATAATTTTTATTAGTGAGACACCATGAGGTACAGTTGTAGACTTACAAATTTTTGTGCTTGGGTTTCAGTTATACAATGATCAAATACCCATTCCTCCACCAGTGCCCATTTCCCACCACCACGAATCCCAGTATCCCTCCCACCCCCCATCCCCCCCACCCAGCCTCTGTGGCAGGGCATTCCCTTTTGTTCTCTCTCTCCTATTGGGTGTTGTGGTTTGCAAAAGAGGCAATGGGTGGCAATCATGTTTGGTCTATAGTCTACTTTCAGCATGCTTCTCCCATTCTGGGAAGATCCTCCCAACACCCTTTATTTGGTGCTCCCTTCTCTATCTGAGCTCCTTTTTCCCCTAGCATGTGTGGCTGGCCTCCAAGCCATGGAGTAAAATTCCTGGTACAAGATGTTTGTGTTAAATGTAAATACACTAGGAAAATGAGAAAAAAAACAAAACCAAACTTTATTCCTGATAAAAATTACTCAGTAAACTAAACATTTTTAAGAAAAAATGTTTCTTTGGGGGTGGGGGATGGCAACACCCTGAAATACTCAGAGGTTACTTCTGGCTCTACAATCATGAAGTATTACTCCTGGTAGTGTTCAGAGAACCATATGGAAAATAGGGATAGAACTCAGGTCAGCCTTGTGCCCACCCACTATACTACTTCTCCATCCCTGAAAAGAACTTCTTAAACCTTATGATAAAAAGCAGCTATGAAAACCCTCCAGTGTTGTACTGACAGCAGATTTTTTTCTATAAATGACCAGATAGGAATAAATAATTACCAACTCTTTTTGGTATATCATCACATAGAACAAGAATTAAATTAATTTTTAAATTTTAAATTGAATTCCAAAGCTTATGTTTTATTTGTAATTAAAATTTTGCTATATTCCATTTACAAAATCAAGAAATAATTTCAGTGTTTACAGCAAAACCTTTGTGGATATTGTATACTGGGTTTACATCTAAATTGTGTTCTGCAAACTATTCAAGAATATAACCACCTCATAGATTAGAGATTTAATAGTTTTTATCTTTGCAAAAGAAATTAGTATAAACTTGGGACTAAAATCATTTTTCCTTTTCAACTTTCATGACTTGGTGATCAAGGCAACTTGTATGAACACATGCACAATATTAGAGAAATCAAGAGCTATGTGTCTAATCAATGTTTCTGTTTTTTTACAGAGGAAATTTTCCAAATATGCCCCCGTATACTAAAGGAACACCCTGCTCTTTGTGTGAGCCTGGAGAAATTTGTAGAAACAAGCTCTGCAGTAAGCAAAAAGAAAGACAAAATCTTGGCCTATCAAAGAGCAAATTTTCCATAAATTCATTATATTTCAATTTTGGTCTCTTGAATAGGTTTTCAGACAACTTACAGATAACATTTAATCTCTGCTATAGAATGACAAGTAATTTGTCATAAATTATCATATTTAAACTCAGATATAGTTTCATTTCTTCACTGATTTTTTCCTATCTGCTAAAAAAGAGAAGGAAGTGAAATATAACTGTGATTAAATTTGCAGTACACTACTGGCTGAAATGTTCCTTATTTGTATTTGTAGCTGTCCCTTTTCATTGGATATTATTTTTATTAGTGACTCACGCCAAAGTAATCAATGTCCAAATTAATTGTGATTTAAATCTATGGTTACTTTCTATCATAAGCCTTTAGTTTTCAGATGAAAGTTCTTTTTGTTTTTTGGACCACGCCTGGCAGTGCTCAGGACTTACTCCTGGCTCTGCACTCAAGAATGACTCCTGGTGGTTCATGGGTGTTCAATACGGGATACCAGGAATTGAACCTGAGTCAGTAGTGTGCAAGGCAAATGCCTTACCTGCTATACTATTGCTCTGGCCTCAAAGATACATTCTTAAGGACAAATGCATAAACTTTGATTGATGATAGAGTGTGAAATAGGTGAAGAGGAGATGATTTGAATGCTGTGGGGCAAAAGTAGACTTGATGGCATGAAAGAAAATAGGCACCAAGATGTTAAAATATATTAAATAATTCTATTTATATAAAACTTAAAACAAAGCTAAAAAAACTTTGTTTTGAGTTAGTATTTTCTTAGTGTCTGTTTAATACTGGTTTAATTTCTTTAAATGTTATATGATATTCAGGTCTGGAAGACCAGGCAGACAATATTTTACTTGATTCTAGTTCTAAAGAAATTCTCTTTATTTTTAATCTATGTTCCATGTTCCATTTTTTAAGTCCATGCTTTTTTATTTATGTCCCTTCTTGTTTTAGTTGTTAATTTCTTATAAAAAGTCAAATTTTAGCTTTATTGGTTTCCTTTTTGAGAGAAAAGAGATATGGCATATGAAGACTTTGGATCAGATGATAATAATCATAATAATAATAAGTGATGTGGGTCCCAAATAAATTAAATTATTAATAAATTCTGGATGCTACTATAGCCCATATTATTTTCTGTCATTTTGATGCAGCTTATTTTTTACAGCACTAATTGAATAACTCTAAAATTATACTTTGTGTTCATTTTTATTTATTTGATTCTTAATTTAGCCATAAATTTTTCTTAAAATTTTTCTGATAAATATTATATTTGAATCCTCAACTTTATGCTCAATACATAATATAAGCTAAAAATGAAAAAGTGGGAAAATGATATAAATAACATCATAACAAATTATGGGATCCTATTAAGAATGGTAAATATGAGAGAAAATTTTGACGGGAAAAAGTTGAAGCAAGGACCAATTACAAAAATAAAAGAGCTATTTGATAGAGCACTCTGGATACCAAAAACTCAACATGAAGGATGAATTTTGTACTTTTTCAGGAACTTTATATGCCATATCATAGCAGCATGTCAAAATTAATTAGCCATTGTATATAGCTTGAATATTTTAGGCTTTGTACACCACTATAGAGAAGTATTCCAGAAACATTTTTTGATACACATTGTTGGTGATGAGCATCTGGATTTGGAAGTCCTTTTCATTTTCTGAATTTAAAACTTCAAATATTTTCTAAATTAATTGTCTTATTCAAAAAAGTCAGCAAAGGATGTGAATATTTTCAATTAAAAAATGTTTTCTGTTTCAGGATCCAAAGAACAACAAAAAGCTGAAGGTGTGAATCAAAATAATTCAGTATTAATTCAATTACTCCTGCCCTTTTTTGAGTGTTTTTAATTTAATTTTCTTTTGACATTTGAATCAGAATATCTTTTTTTGTTTTTCATTTTTTACTACTTTATTGAGGCACAGTTAGAATCACAGTTACAAAGTTGTTCATGATTGAGTTTCAATTATACAGTGTTCAGCATTGTACATTACGTCAACCAATGTACATTTCCCACCACCAGTGTCCCTAGTTTCCCACCCCCCAATCCCATTCTCCTCCTGTTTGTCTCCATGGCAGGCACTTTTCTTTCTCTCTCTCTCTCTCTCTCTCTCTCTCTCTCTCTCTCTCTCTCTCTCTCTCTCTCTCTCTCTCTCTCTCCCCACCCCCCCTTGGAGCATCATGGTTTGAAATGCAGGTACTGAATGGTTATTGTGCTTGCCCTTCCTACCTACTTTCAGCACTCCGTTCTTGCCCAGGAATTTCACCTACTTCTTGAGCCAATGGCCTAAGTTGTTGGCAGGTTAATTCTTGGTAAGCTTGCTCCGGGGGTGATGGAGTCTGGCTGAAGGCATGGTGGTGACTTTGGAGTGTTGGATCAAGCAGTTGCCAGGGCTCTGTTTGGGTGGGCATTGGGCTGACCTGCCCCCTTCTGAGGTGTCCTGGAATACACAGCCATAAGCAGGTGTCTGAACACATTTTGTGACTGGCTGATGTCATTTGAGATTTATTTATGAGTCTCCAAAGCAGGACCAAAAGGTGAGCGTACATAGCAGCACAGGAGGTTTCCTGAGAGGCTGCTGGGACTTCTGGAAGTACAGAGAAGTTGGGGGGAGGTAGTCCATCCAGACTTGGAGAGGGTCTGGTGATTTCAGTCACAAAGACCCATGTACCTAAATTTTGGGCAGATTAATTTCTCAGCGAACTGGGTCCTGAGCTGTTGGGGTCTGGCTAGAGGCATGGGACAACTTTGGGATATTAGAAAGCTTGAGGGCATCATTAGGTGGCTGGTACTCTTGCCCAGTGAGTCCAGGTTGACCTGCCAGTGGTGTTGTGCCATCTGAGCCTCAGTGATACTGGAGACAATAGAGGCAGACATGGCAGGCCATGGACCAGGACCAGATGGGTGCCTGGGTCCTGCCAGACCTGGTGCTCCAGGCAGCTGCTGTTGCTATTCCAGCAGCATAGTCTCCAGTAGTTGGAGCTCAGGGAGCTGAAGGACTAGGAGAGGATCTTCCTCTAAGACAGGCTCAGAAGACTGAGTCACATAGGTCACAACATTAGGTGCAGCCAGGCCTCGGGGTGTAGAAGGAGCACCCAGCTAGCAGCAAATCACCCTGGCGCCCGGTTGCACCTCACTGACTGGCTATGGCAGGTATTTAAGGCACCGCAGCAGTTCCATAGCCCGTGCTCCACGATAGCACCAGGCTGGACTCCAGAAGCATTTTTTTTTCCTTTAAAAAGCGGGATGAAGAATATTTAACTGAAATTTGCATTCGGTCCAGTGAAATGATGCAGCGTTTCTGTGTAGCAGAACCCTGCAGCTCAGAGCTTCAAGAGTTGCTGCAGCTCCACGTGTCCCCCGTGTTCTCCGTGTCCGAGCACCTGTGGCCGCCCCTCCCCCACCTTTACACTCTCCAGCGGTTTTTTTTTTTCCTTTTCTTGCTTTTTGTGTCACACCCCACAATGCTCAGGTGTTCCTTCTGGCTCTGCACTCAGGAATCACTCCTGGTGGTGGTCGAAGAGCCATGTGGGATGCTGGGAATTGAACCCGGGTTCACCGCGTGCAAGGCAAATGCCCTACCAGCTGTGCTATGGTTCCAGCCCCTCTCCAGCAGTTTAATTCTTAACTTCACTGTTCTTTAATTTAACTTTGTTTTTTTCTATCAGTTTAACATTTTATAAATAATATGACATGATCATGCAGTTTCTGGGCCACCCGCATCCTGCAGTTCAGAGCTCTGAGAGCAGCCACAGATCCATTGGTCCCAATGTCTTGGCGGTGCTACCACCATCCTCCAAGACTCCTATTTTTAATTTTAAATCTTTTCTTTTCTTTTTAAGTTTTGGAATCCAAAGCACAACAAAAACCTGAAAGAGTGAATAAAAATAGTTCAGCACTGATTCAATTACTACCTTCCATTGAAACTAAAGTGAGCTCCATCGGTCCCAATGTCTTGGCGGTGCTACCACCATCCTCCAAGACTCCTATTTTTAATTTTAAATCTTTTTTTTTCTTTTTAAGTTTTGTAATCCAAAGCACAACAAAAACCTGAAAGAGTGAATGAAAATAGTTCAGCACTGATTCAATTACTACCTTCCATTGAAACTAAAGTGAGCTTTTAACTGTTCTGTTTTGTTGACAGAATCTCCAAGTTTGAACACAACTTCTATCGAAGCGACAGCATCTCAAAAGATAGCATATAGTGCATTATGTTTGCTTTCTGTTCTTCCAAGAATAGTATAGTTTTCATGCATACAAGAGAAATCACAAGACATTATAATAAAAGAATATGATTAAATATGGCTTTCACTGGTTTACTTTTTAAAATGGCCAGCAATATTACCTGTTATCTGAACTAAGTGTCTTTTTAATTCAAAAGAAAATATTGTAACATAGAATAGTAATTTAAAAAATCTTGTTTAGACAAATTTCAATTTTTCAGAATGAAGAGTACCATTTGGGGGTCCAAAGAGATAGGACACTGTGTATGCCATTTACCTTGCATGCTGCTGAATTGGGTTTGATCCCTGACACCCCTCCTTATGGTCATCCAAGCCCACTAGTAGTTATCACTGAGCATAGAGGCAGGAGTAAGCCTTAGGCATTGTTGGATGTGGCCCTCAAACAAAACAAAACAAAACAAAACAGAAAGGAAAACTTTTGCTGAGCATATTTTTTCAGAAACAAAAAGTAAAACGTTTATTAGGCCACATACTGTAATATTTTAGATTGTCATTTAAATTGTAGCACTGTAGCACTGTAGCACTGTCCTCCCATTGTTCATCAATTTGCTTGGGCAGGCACTGGTGAGACTTGTCCTTACTGTTTTTGGCATATCGAATATGCCACAGGGAGCTTGCCAGGCTTTGCCGTGGGGGCAGGATACCCTCAGTAGCTTGCCTTGCCGGGCTCTCCAAGAGGGATAGAGGAACTGAACCTGGGTAGGCTGCATGCAAGGCAAACGCCCTACCTGCTGTGCTACTGCTCCAGTCCATTTAAATTGCAATAGACTAAATAACAGCATTGTAAAAATTAGAATGTTTCTTTACATGCCAGTAGTTTGCTTAAAGAATAACAGCCCCCCCAAAATAATATCATCGTTATTCAGGGCTGGAGCGATAGCACAGCGGTAGGGCGTTTGCCTTACAAGCAGCCAACATGGCCAACCCGAGTTCGACTCCTCGGCCCTCATGGAGAGCCCGGCAAGCTACCGAGAGTATCTCGCCCACATGGCAGAGCCTGGCAAGCTACCCGTGATGTATTCGATATGACAAACACAGTAACAACAAGTCTCATGACGGAGACGTTACTGGGCCCACTCGAGCAAATCAATGAACAATGGGAGGACAGTGCCAGTGATTCAGGTTAAAAATGTTTTTAAGAAAAGTTTCACACTGCATATAATGAGTGCTGTGGTTATAATAAGTAAGTGATAAGAACAAATGAAACTCCAAAGGAAAATTAATTTTAATCTTTGAAAGGTAGGCATATCTAAAAATTAAATCACATTCATTTAGAAGATTTTCTTTTTTTAAATAACAGGATAAAGAAAACAGGCCTTTTGAAAAAAACCTATAAAATTACTTCTTGCATGGTTAACATAATTTCTACAAAACAAAAGTTGGTTAATTCTGACATGTCTAATTCTGACATGTCTTTAAATTTGAGAAAAAAAGCCTAAACTATTAACTTACTTTTAAAAATTATTCATTTTGAATTGTGTCCCAAATAGAGTAGACCTGCCAGGGGTACAGAAGGTTTATCTACTTCTGTTTAGGAGGAAAGATCTGGGCTCTTTTTTAATTATTACATTATGGCTGCGTGCAAGGCAAACGCCCTACCGCTGGAGCGATAGCCCCTCTCGGAGAGCCCGGCAAGCTACCGAGAGTATTCGATATGCCAGACACAGTAACAACAAAGTCTACAATGGAGACGTTACTGGGCCCACTCGAGCAAATCGACGATCAACGGGAGGGCCTTTACCTTTTACCTTATTACATTATGGGCTCCTTAGCTCCTACCTATGCCATCAAGTCCAGTTCTTGTGGTATACCAGGTAGATTCTCCAAGGCAAGTTGGCTGTGGCTTCAGTAGACAACTCAGTGAAAATACAGCATAGGAAGAAGTTGGTCAGTATAGCACAGATATAAATCCATTTAGCTGGGGTATTAGCCCAAACCAACCCTGGGGCAGAAGGACAAAGCAATATGGTGGCCCTAAGTAGGGCAAATTCATTATTAAGATATGTTTTTAATTGGTTGACCAAATAGTGGCTGTTGTGGGCCCCAGCCTGGCTTGCTATATCATGCACTTTTGGCCTCTGTTAGGCTATCAGCAGGTTCTTCATGTATTAACAACAAGGGGAAGCTCATAGTTGGCCATAAACTAAGTATAAAGTTTTTCTCAGAATAATTTGTCTCTTCTCCCCCTCCCCTTGGGAAGATCATCTTCACTTCCATGGGTGAGTGACTACCAACACAAGAGAAGAGCAGATTTCTCTCCATCTCCTGGCCCTGTGGTGCAAAAGGCCCCTTACCACATGAGGTCAAGATCAGTGCTTGTTTAAGATCAGGTTCAAAGTCACTGGGGCTGGCAGGAAGATGCTTCCCTTCCAGTTCAAACCCAGTCTCAACAGAATGAATGTCCTCTGTGGTGATCTGCAGCTGGATTGGGGGTTGTATTTTAATAGAACTTCACTGGGGCTAGACCACCCTTTCAGCACTTCTTATTAAGAGTCTGCAACACAATCCATAACTAAAGGACCTGATGCATGGAACCAAATACTAGTGCAGAGAAAAGTAAGGACTCCTTTACAACAGTGAGTCAAATTTCCAGCAGTACACCTGAGGATCTGCTTTGATCTGTTCCAGAGCCATACCAGATTGTTTTGGCAAAGGACTGGATAGCCACACTGATTTACTTGGCCGACTGCCTGTGGCATAAACTCTGTCCTCTGGAACTTGACTATCCATCCTGATAGGGATGGGCAGAAGCCTGTCTCTGGTCCTGAGGGAGAGAAATTATGTCATCAGCCCCGATACATCCGGCACTAACACTTAAAGCAGGATGGTCGTGAACATACTGGCTGCTGCAAATAGTCTCACCACATGGCTATTGTGGGTTCCTGGGCAGTCCCACTTTACAGCTGAGTGACATAATAGGTACAGAGTATGAACAGTCACAGTGGCCGTTCTGAAGCCACCATGCAGTACACACAGCCACTAATTGCTTTTCTGAGCAGTAATGGGTTCCACATCTTTCCAAAGCTGTAACCAGAGTAAATAGGCTGCCGAAGCCATTCTGAACACTGCCAGAGACTCTACCCAAAGCTCTCAATAGTAAAGTTCTGGTCCAATCACAGAAATGACTCAGGTCCAGCATGTTTAAAGCTTGTTTTAATCTCCTTGTCTCTAATGCTATTGCTGCTTAAGTGGCCCAATCCTAGGTGGCCCCCTCAAAAATTAATACATAAAGGGAGTCCAATATAGCTGCACTAAGTGGGATGCAAATACTACAGATGCCCCACCAGCCCAAGAAACACCTACCTGCAAGTGTTTGACCAACATGGGCATGGGGGTACACATGGTTCTTATTAATGACCGCTTAGTTTTAACCAATAAGACAATCCCCAAAGCTTGATAGACAAGCCATTTGCCTGCAATTCGTAGTTGACTATTGATAGTCATCTCAGGTGTGCAAGCAAAAAAGAAACAGGGCTCTCCAAATGTGCAAGAGTGCCCTTGTAAAAAGAGAATACTGTCAATATCATGATAAAATAATAAAGCAAAAGGGCATCTCCATTTAGATAGGTCAAATGGACACATTAAATGGCAAAGCTCAGGCTATGTAAGTAGCCCTAAAGCAATTCGGTAAAAGGTCGTAAGTCCATGGTCACCTCTCCTGGGTAAAGACAACTGGTCCTGGCTTTCAGGAGCAATGTCAGTGGAGAAGTACATGCTCACAATTTCAGCCATGATGTGGGAGCAAATGGTTCAGCAAATCCATGAAGTTGGCCACCAATGGGATGGCTGAATGAAGCAAAACAATTTAAGCAAAACAAAGCACTGCACAATATTGTCTTCAGATATTTTTAGAGTTGACCCCAATAACAAGGGAAATAAAAATAAACAAAAAAAAGTACATAAGCACACACATTTCAAGAAAGTTTTCTGCAGAGAGAAAGAAACTTGCTGAAACATGTCCTACTCAATGAAGGAAACTATTGCTAAAACAAAGATACATTCTACTTATAGGGAGGAAATATTTGTACACCACACATCCAAAGAAAGAGCTAACAAACGCATAAACAGAGATGTGGTATCTATCACAATACAACACTACTCAGCTATAAGAAAAGATGAAATCGTACACAGAGATGAAATTAGAACATGCATTCTAAAGGATAGCACAGTGGAAGGGCATTTGCCTTGCACACGGCCAACAAGGCCGACCCAGGTTTGATACCTCCACCCGTCTCGGAGAGCCCAGCAAGCTACCAAGAATATCTCGTCTGCATGGCAAAGCCTGGCAAGCTCCTTGTGACGTATTCGATATGCCAAACACAGTAACAACAAGTCTCACAATGGAGACGTTACTGGGCCCACTTGAGCAACTCGATGAACAAGGGGAGAACAGTGCTACAGACAGTGCTATTCTAAAGTAAGTAAGTCAAAAGGAGAAAGGGGAATTTTATTTTATCACACTCATATATGGCATAAAAGAAAACAGCAAAAGAACAGAGGCCAAGGAAAACAAACACTGAGATTGACCGCAAAAATGAGGTTCACAAAGTGGAGTATGGGGTGTGGGCTAAAAGATTGAAGTTGATCCAATGCTTGTGGTTGAGAAGTATCAGCAGTTCGGTAATGTATATGGTGTAGTAACATAGCACCATAGATGAACATGAACACCACACATGAACACAAAGAGATTTAAAAAAACAATGCTACCTCAAAAAAATTAAAGAAATTGGAAAGTTGTAAGATTTTACTCTATTTGCAAGCTACTGAAGTAAAACTTAAGATTTTACTCTATTTGCAAGCTACTGAAGTAAAACTTAA